TTTAGCCGGCTGTGACAAGTTTGCCTTCAGAGAGGTAAAGTGAGGTTTTCCAGTAAACCGACGGTCAAAGAGAAGGCCTAGAAACGACGTATCACTTCGGTGAACGGAGCCATAGAGATACAAAGGATGATCGAGATAACAGAAGCGTCTAGTGAAATAAATTGTGATTTTGGTATTGAAAATTAAAACCCATGAGTGGTGCCCAAGTGGAAACACGGTCCGACCGCATGCTGAGAGAAACTGCAATAAGTGACAGTCAGGCGCCTGCACAAGCAATAGCGAAGTCAGCAACATAGATGATGACCAAATATTGGGTGGAAAGAACAGAGGCCAATCATTTATAGCAAGGAGAAAAAGTGTTTGTGCTTAGAACACATCCCTGAGGGAACTCCTTCAGCTTGGACGAAGTACCGGGAAAGAACATTATTGACTCGAACCACGAAATGTCTGTCTACGGTTAAAAAGTTCTTAAGGAAGATGTAGAATTGCCTCGGAGGCCTAAGAATGGGCCTGCCAAATATTATACCTCCACGTTGTGTCATATGCCTTCTCAAGGTCAAAAATATGCAATAACGAGTGATTATTCGCAAAGGCATTACGAAACATACGTATCCCAAGCGAGTAAGGGTCCTATGGTAGAACGACCCTTACGAAAGCCATATGACTAGGCGAGAACTGTTGTGAGTCTCTAAATAACCACATTAAACGTCGATTTTACCGAGGCGTTCCATCAACTTTGGCAAACTGCAACTGTAAGAGCGATGGGCGATAGTGGGAGCATCATGTCCTGTATACCCGTTTGCGGAAAGGGAGAACAATGGCGATTTCCACAGCTGGGAAGAACTCCTTGTGTGCCAAATAATTGAAGAGGTTTAAGAGGACTACAAGGCTGACCGATTGTAAATGTTGTAACATACGAATATGAATGTCATCAGGCCCCCAGCTGCCGATGATCGCAGGCTGAGAGCGTTCCTCCAGTTCTTTGAAGTGTAAAAGGCACATTATACTGTTCTACTCCGAGAAGAAGAAAAGTCCAAGGGTACTAATATCAGGCAGACTTTGAGGAAAGAAACAGGGCATAGATGGGGCCCTCGGGAATATACGGACCATATGTGTGCCAAGTTCAAGTGGCACGACGAGAGGTTGCTATATCAACACCAGTGACCCGTAGAACAGGAGCCGGTCAGGAGAGTATTACCCACTCAAATTCCTCACTTTTTTTCCAGACTGCACTCATAAAGAAGCAGAGGTGATGGTGGAAACATAGTCCCCTCGCCATCAAAGTGCTTTTAGCTTCACATCAACGGATGACACGGCGACTATTCGCACGCTTCTGCTTAAAATCAAAACAAGTCTCTCAGCGGTTCTATTTACCGTACCTGCCCATGCAGCAGACACGTTTCAAACGTAACTGCAACGGAGCACAAACAGAGACCACCAAGGCACGCACTTCTGATAATGCCTGCCTGAGGTTTGGGGTATAGAATGAGAACTGCGGTATAAACTGATGTCGAGAAGAATTTAGGAGCTGCATCGAATGAGGATGAAGAAGGAACTCACTAAAAGCCGTGGTGGTGGAGTAAAATCCCAATTTGCCCATCAAATTCCAGCCGAGGTTACGGGAAGGTGGTGTATAGGAAGAAAAGTAAAATGATCGGAAAATATCGCTGTCCTGGTAATCTGGGGTAGAACAACCAGGTTGAAGTCTAGTCAGTGGAGGAAGAGCAGACTGATAGATCGATGCAAGAGAGAGTATGAGTAACAGGATCAAAGGGTGGGAGTACCCGTATTAAAACAGGAGGGGGTGAAGGCATGAAAAGCCCTCCCACTGAATGCCACGGGATCCACAATGAGACCCCCCCCCAGAAGGAAATGGGGGGCATTAAAATCACCAAGTAACAGAAGTGGTGGGGTAAGGATGAAACAAGAAAGGCAAAGTCTGGGATAAAAATGCTCGAGAAGGAGAGAGATATAAAGACATATTGGTATACCACTTATCAAGTGGATACGGGCTGGCATGTAAGGCAGCGAGGTAAGACAAATTTTGACAGTACGGAATATCCTTGAGGGGGCGTAGAAGAAGGGCACTTCATTAAAGTCCCATCTGAGAAAGATCAGAAGAATACAATAAAATAAAGCCTAGATAGTTGGAAAACACCGAGTGTAATTTTTGGTTCCTTGTAATGCAAGCACCAACAGGGAAAACCTGAAAGCAACGATCTGAAAGGCTCACCCCGATTAACTACCCCTGAGCCGCGGATATCCAACTGAAAATAGCCATGAATGCGATGAAGAAAATATCAGGAATCTGTAGTAAAGGCACTACAGACTAGAGGGTTACATAAGTCAACGTGTGGTGGCATTAAGATGTTCAATAGCGAAGGAACGGAGCGTTGCGATGAATGGGTTGTGAAGATGGAGGAGAGGGAAAGAAGGAACAGGAAGTGAATCATGGTCCATTGAAGGTTTTAGTCCCTCTGCAATATATTCTGAAATGGCTTCAAGTGTTTCTGAATTCAAAGATGTATGGGAAACCATATTGGAGATAGGAGGGGAGGTGATTAACTGCGATTGGACAGAATGGACATACCAAAGTAGAGGGAGGGAAAAGTGTAAAGACTGAGATGAGTGGTGGGGGGGACAGAAGAGGTAGAAATCCTGGAGGTGACAAGAAGAGGGAGAAACTTTGGGAGGGACGGGGGTGGAAGGCATAGTACGGAGGAGGAGGTGAATCTCCACACTTGTAATAGAGCAGAGAGAGGGGATGAACTAGGTAACAGAGACTGAAGTAACCGTGTGGAGGGGAAGAAGGGAAGTAGGGGCAAAGAAGAATTTAGCAATGTGGATTTTTTTGGACTCTGATAGAGGGGCCATTGGCATTAGGTCTCTACCGAGGTCTTGTCGATACATGGGGCTTGTGAGAATAAAAGGACGGCGAAGATGTGAGAACAGACTGAGTTGTAGTCGGGACGTCCAGAGCCAAGGACAGCAAAAGATTAGATTGCCGTAGTGGCTATGGGAGGTGTAAAACAACAGAGAGGCTGCAGAAGAGGACCCCAGAAGGGGATGTTTGGAAACACGAGAATAAGAAACACGGGTTAGTCTCCCTTGGAAGCGGAGATGAGTAACTGCATAGCATAAGGGAGACCTTCTTCCTCTTTGAGGCAACGGATTTCACGTTCATTAAGTAGACCTGCAACGGCGGGAGTACGAAGGGTGGCTCATTACAATTAAGGCAATTATTGGAGGTGACCTGCAAGATGTTATTAGAATTGGTTTCGGCACCACAGACTGCATTCGGGGGCCATAATCGGCAATATTTCGCTGGGTTACCAAAACCGCCAAGCAACTCTACATTGTGCGGTGTAGGTATCACCTTCTTCAACTTGTAACCGATTCCCCGACATATACAGAGACGGGAGATCTCGGCGTCAAAAGTTAAACACCAGCCACATTGCAAGGGTAACGTCTCCGCCCCCGGGCAGGAAGACAAGTGTCTACTTTGAGATTGGGAATCCTGGAGTTCCAGCTGTTCAAAAATGTCATTGCCACATGACTGGAAATTCTGTTGACTATGGTAATGGGGAGAATGACAGTAACCACTACAAGAATGAGAAAAGAAATTTTTTCAATAGTGATAGGATAAGTATCGATATTCGAAAGGAGAAAAGATCTTGAACTTGGGTAGCCAATCCTGGACAGTGACTATCTGTACCGCCTCTTGATAGCGTGAAATGAAATATCCTCTGTCCTCTGCCAACATGACGCAGAGCCTTTGCAAGTACTATGTCAGAAAGGTAGGCAAAGAATGAAGTTTGGTCCTTAAGTAAAGAATTTAGTCCATTGTGTGTCCGAAACTGACGTGAAGGAGTGCGTGACGTGTCGTCGTTTCCGATAAATGGGAAGTAACGACGGTGCATCATTCAGGTGAATTGACTTGGCGTTTAGGATAGGACCGGGAAGTTGGTCCCCGTGCAGGAAATGGTGGCGATTCGGAAAATTGCCGTACCGTAGAGGGAGAAGCCGGAAGCATAGTCAAAGGAGAGCGAGTTCAGACACATCGAAGGATCAGCCGAAGCCCCGGTAACCTGAAGGCGGGTGAGGAAACAGCACCACAAGAGGTACAGGGCTCAGAGTGTCCGAAGAGTGGTCTAAACACAAGGCAAGGGTCAGAACGGGGTGCGGTATCAGAAGTGTCCCGGGGGAAGTGGTTTCATGACCTAGGGCTGCCATGGTTAGGTTACTCCTTTGCTTTTTGTTTTTAAGAAAAAAAAAGAAAGAAGAAAAGAAAATAAAAATAAAAAAAAGATAAAAACGGGGGTAGCGGGGAGGAATATTCCCAGGAGGAATGAAAGGGCCGAAATCCCTCCGCCCCAAGAGGGACTCGACACCGCTAGTAGCGCAGGATGCAGCATGGAACCCGTCTGCCATACCCAAACCTTCATGCCAGTAAAACCAGCAATCTGGAAAGCAACCTCACATCTGCCGAGCTACCTCGGTGGACAAAGAGAGGGCGGCCGATATCCGCCACAAAGCATACCTCCTCAGCCACCACCCCCACCCGAATCCGAAGGTGGCTTCCAGAGATACACCCGTCGCCACAGACACCCAAAAGCTACTCCCGGGATACCGGAGAGGGATCGGGACATCCCAGAATCCAGATTCCACGGCAAACTACGGCCACCGCCAAGAAACCTCAACGCAGTGGGAAATGACCCCCCGGTGTCCTGTCCCTTTCTACCTAGGAACTAGTGCGCCTGGAAAATCACACGGAAGGGCCAAGAAGAAAGGGCAAAAGGGTAGGGTGAGAGGAGTAGGAGGAATGGAAAAAGGGGAGGATGGGATAGGGAAGGGGAGAATGGGGGGTAATTAGGTTCGGTCTGAGGAAGAAGACCGACAGGGCTAATTCCTCAGACCAAGAGCCTCTTCACCATGCCAAGGAGCCCCCCTTGAAGAGGTTAAATCTGGAGAAGGGGAATCTATAATAAAAAACAACTTACTTTCTTTTTTAGGGGTTTTAGTCACATTCTCTCTTTTTCTTTCTTTCCTTTCTTTTTTCTCCTTTTCCTCTGTCTCTTCCTCTTCTCCTTCCTCTTCATCTACCTCTCCTTTCTTTGATGCCTCATCTTTCTTTTCTTCTTTAGTTTCCTCGTCCTCATCATCTGTTTTGTTTCCCTCTTTAGTTTCAGTTGTTCCAGCCTTGACTTCCTTGGCAGCCTCACGTCCCTTCATTCTTCATCTGCGGTCTGAAAGGAGTATAATGAGATTTTTTTTTTTTTTTTTTTTGCCCCCCAAAAACATCTGAGGAATTTTAGTATGTTACGTATTTTAAAATGCTTGCTATACAGAAAAAACACATACAGTGAACCCCCCCCTACCTCAAAAAATCAAACAGCTCCCAACTCAACCAATTATGTAAGTGTATTTTTGTAAGTGCTTTTATAAGTGTATTTTTGAGTTTCTGAAATGGACTAATCTAATTTACATTATTCCTGATGGGAATAAATTCTGGACCGAAGAAAGTTCTATATTTGAGGTTCCACTGTACATACATATGCACAGTACATATATAGATGTATTTATTTGGGTTTTAAATCTGCTACATGTATACTGTCCATAAATATTTGGTTGAGCATCATTGAGGAATAGTGACAAATTTACACATGTGTATCAGTAAACAAATATTGTTGGACAACAGTGAAATTACATACTTGTAGAAACAGAGCTATGCTCATTGTATTCAATCTTCATTATGTTCATATACTTCTTTTAATCCTTTGACCGTTTCGGTCGTATATATACGTCTTATGAGCCACCGTGTTTGATGTATATACGTACACTCATAAATTCTAGACTCTAGAGGCTTCAAAACGAGCAGGAGAAAGCTGGTAGGCCCACATGTGAGAGAATGGGTCTGTGTGGTCAGTGTGCACCATATAAAAAAAATCCTGCAGCACACAGTGCATAACGAGAAAAAAAAAAACCCCGACTTTTTGTTTTTAGTTAAAATGCCGAATTTGTGGTCTATTTTCGTATAGTATTTATTGTTGTATTCTCGTTTTCTTGCTCTCATTTGATAGAATGGAGAACATATTATAGAAATAGAGTTGATTTTGATTGGTTTTACTATGTAAAGAACCTTGAAATGGAGCTCAAAGTAGGGGAAATGTTTGATTTTTGCCGATGTTCAAAAGTAAACAAATGATGTCATTTTCCAATGAATGTCCAGGTAGCCATTCTAATATGCAGTCATGAATGGGCTGACATTTATACAATTATTATAATATTACAGCAGTCTGCATAACAGTAAATCTTCTATTTTTTGTTTGAATAAAAATTCAAAATAGAAAGCAAGACTAATATCAGAGGGGCCTGGAGACATGACTGATGAACAAAGAAAATGTTATTTTAGAGTCAGGAATGTCTGCATTGTTCATTCTGGACCCTGTTTTGAAATTGTCATATTTTTTAATTTTCGTGAAATTGGCCAAATTGCAAATTTCTGGCCATGTTATTGGGTAGTTGAAATCGGTAAATGGTCAGTTTCTTGTGCTCAATCGATAGAAAAAATGGATTTCTAAAGAAATAGCTATGAGTTTGGTCGACTGGAACAATGGAATTAGCCGAAAATAGGGCTCAAAGTGGGCGAAATCGCCGATTTGCAAATATCGCCAAGGTTGCTAACTTCGCGAGAGAGTAATTCCATCAGTCATCAAATTGTGTTCTTTTTGTGTCATTACAATTGGGAAAAGATTCTCTATCATTTCATAAGAATTGGGGGGGGGGGGGATTTTGCGACACCAGGAGACATCTCAGGATTTGGGGTTGCGACAGTCAAGGGGTTAATTACTAATATTTGCAGAACTTTTTTTTTTTTTTTTTTTTTTTTTTTACACATGGTTTGACAAGGTTAAGGATCCCTAGCTTTATTGACAAGCTATTTACAGGTTAAGGATTCCTAACTTTATTGACAAGCTAAGAGCTGTTACCTACATCAGCTCATTATTCCATTATTATGTGCAATGGTTTTTTGTTGGGTCAAAACCAGAAGTAGCCTGAAATGGGTTTCAAAATAGGGTAAATGCCTCCTTACCTCCCAGTTTGTTTTATGGGTTTTAAGTCTGCATCAATTACCGGTATGGCTTAAACCATGACCAAACATTCCTGGTTATTGTTCAACAACTGTGAAGCAATAAAAGTTTACTTTTTGACAAATTCAGAAGGAAAAAAAAAGTGCTTTTGAAAAAGGCTTTTGAAACTGAAATTTGTTGAAAACAGTATAAAACTGGCAACTTTTCTGACTTTCATTTTTTTGTGTGTGTTTGACGATCAATTCAAAATGGGAGGCAAGTCGAGTGGTACCTCGAATTTCAAACAGCTCCCAACTTGAACAATTATGTAAGTGTATTTTTGTAAGTGCTGTTGTAAGTGTATTTTTGGGGGTCTGAAATGGACTAATCTAATTTACATTATACCTTATGGGAACAAATTTGTTTGGTAACAGCACTCAAACAGCCTTCTGGAACGAAATATGGCTGAAATTCGAGGTACCACTGTATGTATATTATTATAATCATGGGGGAGTGCATGTGGGGGGGGGGAAGATGGAAGATATCCAGGCTCAATTCATGGAACTAGAGAACAGATCCAATTTCCCACCAGCATCAAGGAACCTCCTTTGAGGGGCAAGTATTGTATAGGAAAAGCCTAGAGACATGGCACTGTCTGACAATTTACCTTTTTGTAGTAAAATCTACATATTTTTAGCTCAATTACTCTCAACATTCTTATTATCCATGTTGCTATCTCATTTGGTCCTATTGCTTTTTGTTAAACATTCAGCAAAAAATTTCTTTACTACCTCTTTAATACCAATTTTCTATAAACTGTTTTGGTGATAGCCCCTTTGATAGCCACTCAGCGTCTATGTTTTAAGCACAGCACCCTCAAGTACACTTTGTGCAGCAAATTTTGGCCAAGATATGAGACTGAGTTTGTGCACAGCATAAAAAAAAAAACTTCTGCTACCACAGTATTATAACCTTGTGTTGGGTTTAAAATAGCAATTTTTTTTTTTTATAGATTTTATGGTTTTACTGGCTATTACCTGGTATCAATTAATAGAAAGGAAGACATACTACTAAAATAGAGATGATTTTGGCTGGTTCTGTGACTGGAAGTAGCTTGAAATGAGGCTCAAAATAGCGGAAATATTCAACATTTTACAATTTCCCGAGAACAGGTAAGACCCCACTACCCTAGTCTGTTTTATGGGTTTTTACTATAAATCCAGAAGTGGTAGAATGAACAAACATCTGAACCTATGCAGCTTCTAGTGCCGAGTTAAAAAAATACCAACCTTGGGACACAGAAACCTTTGTTTCTATCACAATACGACTTGAAAGTCTGCAAAATAATTTGCCATGTGAAATGGAACTCTGATTTTGGTCATCAATAACTCAAAACAAAAATGTTTTTGCAGAAAGATATCTTGGTGACTAATTATCCACATGTGTACCATTACAATCTAAAGATCAGCTTCCAGGCATTCTGGGTTCCCGAGAAAATGTCACGTAAACCTGCATTCGCAAATATGATAAATTCTCACCTATCTTTGGGGACAGGTATTAAAAAAAAAAAAAAAAACTTTCTCCAAATTTATTCAAAGTGCACTTTTAGAAAGAGGAGGCGTTAGCGACACAAATCACCTTTTTCTGAGATAGGGTCTTCCATTTAAGGGACAATAACAAGGACTGAAGATAAGAGATATTCTGTACTGAACAGCAATATTGCAAATAATCACGTGTTTCAATGGATGCTGTTACACAGAAACAATGCTGTGCATTATACAAGATGTCATGGTTTCTCTGTGGTGCAAGTCAACAGCTGTCAAACATCTGATGCTCAGCACTGTACTGTATTCATGGTACTGCATTGAGTTGGTCTGTAGTGCCTCTGGCACTACCAAGGGGCCATGCCCAATAGCCAGGCAAAACCAGCCATGGGTGGGTTTCTTTACCACAGGTTCCCAAGCCTGAGATATGGTTTCTTTGCCACAGGTTACCAAGCCTGATGCTGGATCTCTGCCATAGGTTCCTAAGCTTCAGATCAGGTTTGTTTGCCAAGGTTCCTAAGCCTGTAATTGGGTTTCTTTACCACAGGTTCCCAAGCCTGACAGGTTTCTTTACCACAAGTCCCTAAGCCTGGAATCGGGCTTCTTTGCCATGGGTTCCCATGCCTTGTTTGGGTTTCTTTCAGGTACCATTGCTCACAGCCTTGTGATTTTGAATTGTTCCTCTATGCCTGACATGATGACTTGCAGCAAAATGTGTTTTCATCCCATAGGAATTAGGGCACTGCCATAATTCCTTAGCTTTCAGTGTTTGGGCAGGTTTTACAATCTTGTTGAAATGCCAAAGTTTTGAAATAGTACTGGAGAAATGCCAAAAGCTGTTAGGATGTTCCCGACATCAAACATCCATCATTAAATCATCTTCACAATCAACCTTGTTTTCGAATAACTGTTGTACATGAAACAGTTTTTGTCCTGGCTTCACTTCTTGAAACCTGTCTGACAGTAAACAGTCAACTATTCAGAGGCTCTTCTTTGCATGGTGCTTTTTCTTTGCAAAGGAATTGCAACAAGACATTTACTGTAGTTCATAGTTGGTTAAAAGCAAGGCTGTATACATGATACAAGTGTGTGTGTGTGTGTGTGTGAGCTTCGGAGTCCAACCTGAAGCCTGATCGCTTATTTAACTGTTGGTCTTACATTGCAAACCTGCTCAATTATTCAGCTCACATTTATGTGAAATGTCATTAGGCGACCTTTGTTCGCACTGTCAGCTAATCCAATGGTACATGGGCCCAATCTGCTCTCCATCTGAATTGCAATTATTTTTACCTCCTGTAAAAACAAAATGTTGGGTTAATCAACTGTTGGAAAGAGCAAAAATAAACAGGACCTTCATAAATTACACAACATTATGCACAATACAAGAACTGTTAACGTAGGCTTTCACAAACTGTAGAAAACATTTTAAATCACACAAGCACAGCATAAGAAGACAGCCTTGCAGAATATTTTATTGAAACATTTGACAATATATAGTAATTAACATGTGATGATGATGTGGTAATATTAGAAAAAGAAAATGTCTTATTAGTCTTAAAACTAATATGGCATGAGCAAGGCTCTGAAGTTCATAGATTACTAATCATGTTACAGTAAT